GAGGCTCATGCGAGGGCTGTCTTGGTTCCGCAAGAAGAGGGCGCCGTGAAGCTGGCGACGTTTGCGTACTTCTACGGCGCGTGTGCGCAAAGTTATTATCTTCGATTCTCTACATGCCCTAGAAGTTTACAACATTTATTCGAGACACAGCTGTATCTGGTAATGCAGAGCGGCTCAATGCGAGGCTGCTGGTTCCGCAGAGAGGGCTTCGTGGAAGCTGGCAGTTCGCGTAGCTTCTACGGGCCGTGTGCGGCACAAGTTATCATCTTCGATTACTCTACATGCCTAGACAAGTTTACAACATTTATTCCGAGACACAGGCTGTATCTTGTAATGCAGGAGGCTCATGCGAGGCTGTCTGGTTTCCGCAAAGAGGGCCGCCGTTGAAAGCTGGCGACGTTCGCGTACTTTATCGGGCCCGTTGCGCGATCGCTGCTGAGCACGGACGCTGTTTGGCCGGGCCTTCAAAATCGCGCGCCGGTGCGCAGGCCTGCGCCGCCGGCGCGCTCCGTGCTGCAGGGCAAGGCCGGCGAAGCAGCTCGCGTCCAGGTGAGGGAGTTACTCGCACGATGTCAATATACCCGAGTCGTCACAGCGAAGGATGTTTCGCAAAATTAAGATTGATTCTCTTATAAATGCATAATGCTGCTGTACAAAACAATATAGTATGCAACTCGTTAATAATGTTGCTTTATTACATTCGTACAAATTTGAAAACTCGCTCCTGTAGTCGCCTGCTTTCAAAACATGTACTCGTGCAATAAAGCTTAACATCACAAACTAATTGCATAAACTTCTATTTATTTGTTTAAAAATTGAAAATATGTGTGAAAAAGACGAAAATATTTATTTTTATATACTTAAAAATTGAAAAATGTATTAAAATGATATTTACTTTTTATAAGCTTAAAAAATTTAAAAAAAAGTGTATTAAAACGACGAAAATATTTATTTACAACCCGGATGAAGTGAAACCCAGTAACCAAGACCGATAGATGTCGAATTAAAACAAGACGTCATCATCTTCAACATTCTGCACTTTTCGTCAGTGTACCTGAGGAAGGTTGGGAGTAGTTCGTGTTATGAGTGTGTATTATCTCTCGGAGTATCATTGCGTGATTCGTCAGTAGTGTTAGAATGGCCCTTAGAGATATTCATGGTTTGTGAACCAAACTCAGTCCACTCAATCAGGAAAGTCCCACAGTAACATGTAATGTGTGACCAACCACTGCATTCCAAACTGGTACGTCTTTCCCCACATATCAAAAAACTAGACAGTATTAGAATTAAAAATTCTCAAAATATTCATTTATTCACACAAATTTTAGAAAAATAAGCAAAAATGTTTGTTTCGACGAAAATATTTATTTTTATGCAACGTAAGCAAAATATTTATATTTAGGCGGTATGCTATTAGGTATATGGAAACTATGGGGCGCCTCTTGAATTTCCATTAAACTTTCAACGTTCAACATTAAGAGTAAAACAATATGTATTAACTTAAAATACGAGTGATGTCTGTTGCCGCCTAATCTATCGTAACTGGTACACCTTTATAAAATATCTTAGTTTAATCAGAGTATCACATCTTAACAATACGAATAGCTTGGGATAAACTACACCTATTGACCACTAAGCACACATGACTCTTGCTACCAAAAACTGCGACTATTAAGTTAATAGAATTTGAAACACAGCCTTTGTCAACACAGATATGAAAAGAATGTGTATATAATGAAAAAGGTATTAAATCACCTTCCAGGTAGAGTATAATATTATGTCCAAATAATAATATAGTTTCCATGCACTGAGGAAATTTTATATGATAATTAAAAACCAAAGAACAAGTTCAAACATGTTATTTTTCACATAAAATACAGTAAAATAGAGCTCTATCGGAAAATCCACATTATAAAATGTTTTATAGCTTCTATCGTGCACATCCTACCATGCCAAATTTCCTTCTGCATGCCTTTGCCAAATGTCTTGAATTGAAAACTACGATATTTTCGAACGAATGTTTACTCTCAATTCATTGCCGTTCGTAGCATAAAACAACGGCCTCAAAGAGCCAGTGAAAGAGAAAGATTAAAAAAATATCCGATTGGCTTTATATACTGTTTATCCACGTGGTCGGAGAAGATTAAATGGCTGATTACTATATCCAATATAATAAAGCTCCTTGCAGTAGATAAAATGGCTAATTACAATACACAATAATGTAATAAAAGTTTGGGTAAGATAAAACGTTCTTTAATGTACTCTATAAAGTCAAAATTTGTTTTTGAGCTCATTAGTAAATACACACTCGCAACACCTTGCTCATGTATAATCAAAATAAATGTTCATAATGATCTCTTTTAGCAACCTCTATGATCAATAACAACAAAATGTAAAAACAGTGGGGGCATATATTTTCAGACCGATTACACAGTGTTAAACTCTGCCATATTATATCATATTAATCTGAACCAAATATGTACATTCTTTTTTTTAATTTTTTATTAAAACAAAGACTACATAGATACGCTGATTCAAATGTATGTTGAATATTAAGCTGCATTCGACGACTATTGACATTGTTTGCACTCATTGTCATGGCGGAGGATTCCGCCGTTCAAGTGCAACAAGGTGTTTGCGGAGCAGAACGACGTCCCGGGTTGTGACGTAGCAGCGGGAGGAGGGGCAGACAGCAAGGCGAGCAAGGAGATATAGTACACCGCACACTAGGATCTTGTTTGTGCTTAGATATTGTACATGCTAATCTTGTTTACTCTTTCTTCCCAATATGGAATTCTCTTTCTTGCATGAACTGTGACCTATTGCTTCCACTATGGAATTTATTTCAGCAGAAATGAATATGGGTTCGTTTTTGCTGCGTATTGTCATCGACTTCCCCGTTGTACTCGTAGTTTTATATCGAATAAAACTGTGTTGAAGAAATGCTTCCACAGTTCCGTTACTACGCTCATAAAAAAAATCGAAATCGTATTATTGATGCGATTCCAATACTTTCCCTACCTGTACTGTTGTATAGAATAAGAGGAAAGTAAAAATAAAAGTTCTGCGTGAGCTATGGGAGACTAGAGAAACACTTCATAACTTGCACAGCGGAGTTGCAACGAATTCTCTTCTTCCAATGCGAATGGTGAGACGAAATTCGAAAATTATGCAAGACTGCAACTTCTTACGGATGCGAAAGGTCGGTTCACAAGATCTTTCATAACGACTTGAACATTTCGAGAAGAGTTTATGTAAATAAGAGTTCCTGGCATCGTAGCCTGCACCGTACACACACAAATAGTGATGATTTAACACACTTTACTAGGTTTCGTGTCACAGAGACATTAATTACTAAAACAATGAGTTATTACACAACTAACTACTTAACGCCAAACCCGTTTTTTTTTCACACATAACTGCGAAATTTGGTTTAATGATCAACGATCTGATGGATAATATTGTAACAATTCCTGAAAAGAGTACATAATTCACAGCGTTTCACGAATGTTCTTTGCAGGAGCATTCAAACTATCCAACACGCGTTTTTCTAGGATTCTTCCAAATTATCCTAGAGGAAATCGGTTAAGAGGTGTGCTAATCGATTACTCTCGTCGAGAGGAATCGAAGGAACTACTAATCACCCTCGTAGGAGTCGTATCACCAAATAAGCATTTTAGGTGGCTAAAGAAAATATTGAGAGAAATATCTTAGAATCGTCTGGATGGATCGGCAAACAAATATCAGGTCCTCGTCAAGACATCGAGACGCGTAGAATGACACCTCATTTGCTAGATTAGTGCACCGAAAGGGGGCCTTATCGTGAGTGTCCGAAGCAGGTTATTCATAAACTAGCCTATATAAATCTATAAGCCTATGGAAGCATATAATATAAGGTTAAGTAACTAGCCTATTAAAAATATCCATATGAGGCATCGTTTTCAACAGAATTAGTGCAACTGCAACACGCGAAAACAGTACTAATAAATTATTTGTGTTTTACCGCGCAGTATATAATTATAAACTATTCTTTATACATGCCAAAAAGACGAACTCAATATTTTTATTCTTTCATAAAATAAACGTTGGCAACTGTTAAGCATTTCTTCCAAAATATTCACTACAGGAATGCTAAAAAAACAACCATTTACTACTTGAAACGGGACGGTTAGGAGATACTTATGAAATCAAGAAAACGATTTCTATTAATAGCTACAAGCATAAAAAATTCATAATCTTCCCTCTTTAGTTTTCCAGACTTCCAGATCAACCGACTATAGATCGCAATGCCAGATATAGTGGTTTCTTATGCCATTGTAGAAATTTCTTCTAAATGTCAATACTTTTCGATTTTTTAAATTTACAATACTGTATAATCCTAATTCTATTCCTTAGTACTTATGTATCGATACTTTTTCTCCTTTACACCTCTGAGAAATTTTCGATGCTTATCCACCAAGTGGCGCTTGCAAAAGCCACATCATAAAAGAGAGAAATCACCGTCGATTCTCCTCTCTCGACGAGGAAAACCGCGCGTCGACCGGCAGTCCTGAATAAGCCACGGGAGAGCGCGCACGCTGGGCCACGTCGTGGGGCTCGTACGAAGCCCTCCGCCGAAGGAACCGGCGCAGTATGTGCGGGCAGCAGTGCCACTGCAGCAGAGAGAACAATGGGCGTGCCGCGTATTGTGTTGCTTTCGGGAGCCATTCTACTGGCAACGTCCACGCGTATGGACAGCACGTTCGTGGCAGTGAAGTGTTGTCCTCCGGAGGAGGAACTGAACTCGAACTTAACGGAATGCCAGCCAATCGGCGCGAACGCCTCGTGGGAATCTTCGGATGTGGGCGCGTCAAGTGTCGCCTGGGATGACGTGGCGAACGCCTCCGAGGGAGGTGCGGGGGCGCCGACGTGGCTGCCGGTCCACCTGCGCGGCTGGGCGCAGCCGGCGGGGCCCGAGGCCTGGGGCCGCGCTCTCGACTGCGGCGACGGGCGCGCCGTGCGGCTGCGGGCTGCGCGCGACCGCGACCGGTTCGCCTGGCTGCGCAACGGCTCGCTGCTGCTGCGCTCGCGCACGGCGCGCGGCGGGCTGCGCGCGCGCCTCTTCCGGCCCGGGCCGGAAGGCGACTTCTGCGCGGACACGTTCCCGGACGCCGGCGGCGGGCGAGGCCGCGCCGTCGTGCTGTGCGCGTGCGGGGGCGTACGCTGCGTCGCCAAGTGCTGCCCGCTGGGCGAGGCCCTCGTGTGCGATAGTGGCGGCTGCGACTGCCACGCCCACCCGGCCCCGTGGACCCCGCTGCACCCGGACCTGCCTCCGCCGGACCGGGACTTCGCCTACGAAGTCGTCGTCCACTCCAACATCACGTGCGAGGACGGGTACGAACCGCTCATCGACGCCTTCGCCGGGTACCCGTTTTACATGGTGCGCAAGTTCTGGGGCAAGCTGTTCTCGGACGCGGACGTGTGCGGGGACGTGGTGGCCGTGTGGTACGCGGCACCCAGGCAGGGCTTGATGCGCTGCATGCGGCCCTTCCCGTTCCCCAAGCTGGCCGGCCTGGCGCACTGGCTGCACGTGCCCGAGGCGGTCATGCTGGCCGCCGCCCTCGCCGCCATCATGGTGCTGCCGCGCAGGCGCATTTCCGTGTACTCGTACGTGCACGACATGGCCATGGTGGGCCACGCCGCGTCGCTGCTCGGGCGCAGCCTGCTCTGGCCGCCCTTCATTAAGAAGTTCCTCATCAAGTGCGCACACATTCGTGAGTACACGTGCAATATACAAAATGAAATATTTCCGAGTAACTATCGTCAGTAAATTAAGATTTGAACTTTACATAGAGTACTTTGTAAAGAAAACGGGACAAAAACCAATATTTTAAACGGAATTAAGGAATATATAACTAGCTATTCAAGAATTTCTATTATATACATGCATTATTGCACCGCATTTTGATTATTGTGCAACAATACTAATTGGAGCCCAAAAAACTGAAATTAAAAAACTTCAAATACAACAATTCGGTCATGAGGGTAATAATTCAATGCAATAGACACTCTCCAGTCACAGACATGCTAAACATTCTGAAATGTATGTTAATAAAAAAGAGAATTCACTTTAAGACACCAAATTTTAATTTAGAATTAGTTAAAACACAGATAACATGGAACTTAGTAAACAAAACCCAAAGTGTGAAATATAAAACAAGGGAAATAACACAAGCCCAAACTTCAGTATTTTTTCATTACAACTGTACAATCCAAATTAGATAAATTGACAAATAATTTGAATTGTAAAATAAATTACCCTTAGAAATAGAAAATTGTGAACAAATTGAAGAACTTAAATGAAACATTATAAAATACATAAAAAAAGAAAATTAATCATGCAAATAGTTAATAGATATGTAAACAAAGTATGTATTGTACTTTATGTAACAAATAGCCAAGAAGGGTAAAGAAACCAAATCTATCTGCAATAAATTACTTTGTGTGTATGTGTGTGTGTGTGTGTGTGTGTGTGTGTAAAATGACAATACATTCTGGCAAGGAATATCTAACTCCATGATATTTGTTTGTACACAGCAATTGCCATTTACTTCTTCTCCGTCGCTGCTTCATTCTGGTTGAATGTCATATGTATAAACATGGTCTGTGGTTTCTGGTAAGTTTGATTCACGCGGCGAACCATTACACTGAGCGTGTCCTGAATGATGAAGGGATGTTAAGAAACTGATAATACCGCGTGCTGTATTGCAGGAAACCTCTAGGCCCGCAGCGCGGAAGCTACAGCACGGCCAGAAGAGTGTTGTTGTGGTATTCCCTGTACGCATGGGGTGCATCAATTGGAATGACGACATTCACCGGGGTCATGTGGTACGCAAGGGACGTACCTGCCGGACTGATTCGTCCCACCCTGCACGAAACCAGAACTTGTTTCAGAGAGAACGGTTAGTAAGACATTCACCATTCACCTATCACAACGGTTAGTAATAATCATCTATTGTATTAAATGATTTTATAGAAATCGGATATAAACACAAACAAAAATAGCTTCACTGCGTGTTGCTGCCAGTCCAACGTTGGCACTAGAAATAGACTGCAATGACATAAACAAGAGATTGTGTTTTATAGTCAACTCTGGATATATTGAAATCGGATATAGTGAACTTTCGGCTATAGCGAACTGCGACCAAGCGAATTGCTTCAGGTGGTCACTGGCAGTTTTG